TGGAGAAGAGAGGACTTACATGGGATGTAGGTGTTTGAGGATGTGGAGAGAGGGTGGAGGCCACGTGTGGAGGACTAGGAAGTCCCGGGAAGGTGCGAACTCAGTGGAGAAGTGGGGTGTATGTTTTACTCTCTTCCTGAACTCTCTCTCTGTTTCCTCTTCCTTCTTTTTTTTTTTTTTTTAAAGATCTTTTATTTTTTCTCCCCAAAGGCCCCCAGTACATAGTGGTATATTCTTCATTGTGGGTCCTTCTAGTTGTGGCATGTGGGACGCTGCCTCAGCATGGCTTGATGAGCAGTGTCATGTCCGCACCCAGGATTCGAACCAATGAAACACTGGGCCACCTGCAGCAGAGCACGCAAACTTAACTACTCGGCCACAGGGCCAGCCCCCTCCTCTTCCCTCTTAAGCATCTTGGGTCTCCTTCCTCCTTTCTGGAGTTTCAGTTCTAGTCCCACTGCAATTCTAGAGGAAAAACAAAACCTCACTGACATTGTGTTTACATTGAAGTGTTGCAGAAATACCTCCTGAGACCTCCTGTGGGTCAGGGACAGCACAGCAGGGTAGGAGATAACCAGACGCACTTGCCTTATCTTGCTGTCTCCCAAGTACGGATCTGATGAACACACTCTTGTGTCACATGATGTTGACAACTTTCAGCTGCTCTGAGTTCATTCCTGGGCAGCAGTCTGAAATTGTAGCAGGTTCCCTCTTTCTCTGGAAGTTTGCTGTTGAGCAAATAGTTTTGTGATAAGATCACAAAAATGCTTCTTGGCTTCAAGGTACCAGCTAGATTTTGTCCATGTGGCAATTACTGCACCAGGAGTGCAGCACTGAACAGCACACAGACTCTGCCTCAAGGACAAGGCCTCTCTGGGGATGGGACAAGGAGGCCCCCAGGGCTCTCTCAGTGCCATGGGGTGCCTTTGAACACCAGGAGGGGACCCATCCCCAAAGAAGGGGCAGTTAGGAGCAAATGTTTAAATACTAGTTGAGAGTGGCAGAGACGCTTGAGTTCAAATGCAAGTTCTGGGCTAGCATTTTCTCATCAATAAAATGGCAGAAACAGCATCTCATGTGGTTATCTTAATTAAATGAATTAATAAAATGCTTAGATTAGTGCTGTAAAGTGTCAGCTGTTCTGACAAGTTCTGTGTAAAGATGAGAAACTGGGCCCAGTGTCACAGATCGTGACGGCAGCCGGTGGGGATGCTGTCTCCAACTCCAGAGCACAACCACGTCCCTCAGTTCACATGGGATCTGAAGCTAAGCTCGTGCCTGGCACGTGGTGCTTAATAAATGTCTGTGAGTGACAATTTTTGGTCTCTGTCCCGTTTTTGTCTGATGAGAATTGGTTTTTGTCTTCCTGGTTTTGCATGTTTTGGACAGTTACCTCACCTTCTCAGTGACCTGTCCTAAACTGACCCACATATTCTGTTGTAGAGCCTCTGGTCATTTTGTGGCTTTCCTGACAGCTAGTTTTCCATCATGGTAAGAATGTATGACCTCAAGGCTGAACACTGAGCTGTAATTATGTGTTTTACTCATTATTTGTGTGTTAGGGTTACCAAGAAGGCACCTATTCCAGCAACAGCATTTGGTCAAATCCCCTTACAAATGATTACGAGAAGGACCCCTCAGTTGTGACCCTTGGGTCCTCCTGTGGTGGCAAGTTGAATTCTAATTTGGAGTTGCACATTTGACGGCGTTTTCTTGTCAGAACATACCTTTAAGCTCCTCAAATTTCATTCACAATGAAGTCAGATAAAAATTAATGATTGAAATATGCACTCTAAGATTTTAGTTTCTTTTGATGTCCTGTTACTAGTGACCTGTTGAAGCTATCCTCCTTTTATCGAATTTGTTCATTCTTTTTAAAACTTGTGTTGTAAACTCTATATTTCAGCCTATGTGAGTAAATGTTCACAACGTTTATATGCAAAATTAGCTTTCTGAGGACAGGCGTGCAGGGCCCATGAACAGATGAGCACCAGCCTGCAGCTCTGTAAAGCTGGTCTGCGTGTGTAAGCATGATGATGGTATATGGCCAGAGGAAGTATATGGCCACCTAGGGACCCAGAGAGGTTAAGATTGAAAGTCGTTCCAGGAAGCATATCTGCGTGACCTAGGTAGGTAGCAGTGCAGAGAGTGAAAGCTGAACATCAAGTGCTCGTATAAATCAGGCACTGTTTAACTTTGGTAGCTTGAAAGTGTACATTAGCTCTGCTTCTTCCCAGAACTGCACTAAGATGTCTGTGAACGGATAAAGTATAAATCCCTAGGACAGGAGGATGGCAGAAACAGCGACCAGTTGCTACAATGCGTGAGGTAGATGATTAGTGGCACCTTGTTTAGCCAAGGGAAGAAGGCAGCAGAGAAGGTGCTGATGAAACCATGGGCAGCACGGGAGAGGAGGAGGCAGGGCGTCAGGGAGACCCATGAACCACATCTTCCCCACTCCCCTGGAGGTGTTTGTTCTCGGGAGAATGGAGCTGAGAGCCTCCAGATCTGGGGTGCCGGGCAGTGCGGAGCCCACAGGCACTGAATCAGAGCCTGCATGCTGGAGACTGAGAACAGCTCCAGCCTCGAATGACGAACACACCTGTGCTTAGTCACAGGACAGGACACCAGAGGTCTCTTCTTGGGCAAATGGAACAGCCCAGATAAAAGGCTATTGGAGATAGATCAGTGATGCCCCCGCCACAGGAAGAAACCCTGGCGTGCAGCTCCTTTGATGGGAAAGTTGACAGAAGAGAAAAGGAAAAAATAAACAGATTTCACATACGGATTATAGCATCAGAATAGCATTTAACTTCTCGACAACAATAATTGACATGAAAAGAAATGAATACAAATAATTTTCAAATATATTTATACAAATAAATTTTCAAATTTACAAATAATTTTGCTTAGAATTCTAAGTGAAAGCAAGTCTGAGATAAAGGGATGCTCCATGGCAGTGATGCAGCAAGTCTGGACCAACCAGCACGACTGGAGCAGGAGGGGCTCCAAGAGGGAGGTCTTCAAGGGGGAAAGACAGGGGCCGGCTCCGTGGCCGAGTGGTTCAGTTCGTGTGCTCCGCTGCGGCGGCCCAGGGTTCGGATCCTGGGCGTGGACATGGCACCGCTCGTCAGGCTACGTTGAGGTGGCATCCCACATCCCACAACTAGAAGGACCTGCAAGTAAGATATACAACTGTGTACGGGGGTGTTTGGGGAGATAAAGCAGGAAAAAAAAAAAAAAACAGGAAAGACAGTTGAACTAAAAACTGTTACTGGGTTTTCAGTGTTTGACTATGGAGGAGAAAAGTATTGGGAAGAGTTTTGCAGTTCTGTTGGAGTATTTTGAAAGGATTAGCCATAGGTACACTGAAAAGCCAGATAGTGGAACAAAAAGATACAAATATTAGCTTGAGGATAATAAAAAAGTCTAAGATAGAAAGGTATTCGTGACCTACTACTGACTCATAATCTAATAATGGTGTAGAGAAGGCTGCAGTTGGTGTAAGGGAGAAGTCCATATGTTACCTAAAATGAACATTTAGGAAGAAGGATGGTAAGCCCATATTAATATGAATTTAAATACCATGTAACTACTATTTTTCATTATAAGAATAGTACTCTGATTTCATAAACCCTGTGCATCTTTTATAACTATACAAAGTAATTTTTTAAGAGAATGTTTTTAAAAGCGCATTTGTAGACAATAGCTGGAAGAGGTTTGGTAGCTGTGAACTCCTCCATCATCAAGAAACGTTAATGAGTGTTGTTAATATGCTTGCTGGATAAACAGCTCACAGAACCTAACAAAATGGCTTACAGCATAGGTATCTTTTTAACAACTCTAATATAGTTAACTTAGTGCTTGGGACCCACAAACATGTCATCAAAAACAGAGGCGCAGAAAGCTCCATCATAGAGGAACATTGAATCCCAGGGATAGATAGATAACTCTCACCGAGCCATCACAGGAAACCAGGGACAAAACGGTTTTTGTTAAAATTGGTGTCTCTGACTTACTTTCTATAAAGTATTACTGGTCCTTTTCTGAAGAAGCAATATTGAATATTCAATGCTCAGTGCTCAGAATTTCTTTATTTCTGAACTGTGATGATTAAATCTCTCCCTTGGTACTTAGTTTTATCTGGACTGTCCTTCTTGCCACTCGAGTTCTAAAATAATAACAGGTATCATCATGGCCAGATTTAGGTCAGCTCTTGACCAATACCCATTGGATAATTTTTATCTGACCATGTTAACATTTTTGGTAATTCATCAAAGCCATTTTGAAATACAGTTTGTTCAATTATTTAATATCAAATGGAGTAAGATTCCAGAGAGTTAGAAATTTTGAATGAACAAGGATGGAAGTTTACACTCAATCCTGGTTACTTCAATTATATTGTTAAAATATCCTGTAAGATTTATTTTAAAGTTAACTTTAATGATAAATGTAATTTTGTTTTCTCAAGAATGTTTATAACTTTTTCTGTATGTTTATTATATAAAGATCATAATGTGATTCTGTGCTTTGGGCTCCATTTTTATAATCCAAACTCTGAAGATTTCAGTTGTTGCTTGTGGTATAATTTTTGTCTCTTCACATGATATAATAGATGTTTGTGATGTGAGGGAGCCTGTGCTGGTGTTTCTAAAGGCTGTAGTGTCAGGGCTTGAGTCTCCCCTGCCCAGGATGCTTCTCCCTTTCCTATTTATCAGCCATGATGTCCCTGGCCTCCCATGCCCGCTCTGGGTGTGCTCTGCTTGCCTGTGGGAATGCAGTGAGTCAGGGCTTTATTCTACTGAATGATTTGCTCCACAAAGTAAGTTAACTCCAGCTGCCAAGTAAAGCCTCACCTTACTTTGCTCTTTTCCTTAACCCAGGGGTGGATCAAGCTTTGCCTCCAGAGCGCCGGGCTCCAGTTACTCCTTCCTCTTCCTCTCGCTATCACCGCCGAAGGTCCTCAGGGTCACGAGATGAGCGCTATCGGTCGGGTAAGGCACCAAATGTGGACGTGAGGTGCTAATACTCTAGTCTGTAACATTGGTGATGGAGAAATGGACGTGCAGGCACATGTGCAGCAGCTTTGTAAATATGAGGCCAAAGTAGAGTAAGTTTGAGTGTTCTTGTGGTTGGTTGTGTGATCCACAGGTGATGACATCCTACCTCATACCCAAATATACTCTCTAGGGTACACATTAAAATTCAGTAAATTGCAACTCTTTTCACGTTTTTAAAGTTAACGTTGTCCACTATGTAGAGTTTCGTAATAATTTTTAAAATAGTAATCTCTCATAAGCCAGATTTTGCTCATTTTTTTAGGTGTCACTGATCAACAGTTTGGTTTTACTATTTGTAATCTTGGTTGCTAGTATAATTTTTCTTTCTCTTTTAACCTTAGTGACTTCTGTTTTTCAAGCACAGTTTTCAAAAGGAAACAAAATCCTTAAATATTTGTATGTTCTTTGTTTATCATTTCCTTTGTGTTTTATGAAGCTGTGTACAAGAATGCTGTCTTGGTAATTTCGTTTTATTGCAATCATCACCTGGGCTTGACTGGCTTAAATTTCTTTTGTTAATTTAACATCAGAAAACTTGTACTATGGTTAATATTTTAATTATTTTTTGAGAGATTTTTCTCAACATCTAGATTAAAGTTGCGTTTTTCTACTACCCTAACTACCATTTTTAAAAGAAAATTATCAATAAGTGTTGTCGCTGGGACACCAGAGCACATGTGGATTGCTGCTGCTGATGATCTGAATTATAACATTTGTATATCAATTTATATTTTGCAGAGTACTTTCAAAGAGGTTATCTCCTTTAGTTTTCAAGACAAGCAGGTGAAGAACTGTTCCATGTTGCAGAAGAGAAAGCTGAGGCTACGAGAGATAAAGTAGCTCAGCTAGTCACACCAGGGCTGGGCAGGTCAACCCTGTGAACCTCTAGTACCATGTCTTGTGATTCTTTCCATTAATGAGACTTTATGAGATAAACTACCACTATATTCTCTAATGAGCTGTCTGACTTCCTGGCCCCATTCTCCTTTCTAGAAGAGAAGAAAAGGGTAAGACAGAGATTTTATAGCATCAGGAGGCCTTATCTGCGCAAGCAAGAAGAATGGACTTGAGAAACTAGGAAAATTTTGGCCAAGGACAGCCTCATTGCTGCTCCTCCTGTAGTATTGGCCGCTCACAGGAGGCCTGGATGCCTGGGAAAATATGTGGGGATGGACTGAGGACAGGAGTTTGTTCCCAAGTCCACCTTCTGTGTTTCAAATGTATTTTAACACCTAGCACATATCAACAGCCCATCTTACTCATTCAGGCATCTCAAAGGCCCCTTTCAAATAATTTAGGAGGGTAGAGGCACACACATATGTGCTGTCAACTTATTATGAGATGCTTCCATTAACTCCCTTGTCTTGATACTACTATGCTAGTATTTTATATGTGCACACACGTAGACACACACATACAGTAGACACATACACAGACATACGTCTAGATGCATGTTGACTATCATCAGTATCTTCAGTTCTCTCAGAAACTAGTCAAGTGTTCTTATTTCCATTTTATAGATGAGAAATTGAAGTTCAAGGTAGTGTGTGATTGTTAATGATAACATAGTGAGTAACTCATCAAATAGGATGCAAATCTGGCTTCATCTGGCCCTGTAACCCAACTTCTTTCCACATAGATTATATCTTGTGTCCATTTCTAACCTCCAGCTTTCTATATTAACTACTTTTTAAAAATTTAGATGGAAATTAAATCATAGCACAGTCTATTTCCTACATTATATATCTTTCCTAATGCTGAGGTGTAGGGGATGATAAGCTCTTATGTTTACATGACCCTTGATAAGGTGTATTGTCTTTTCCAGATCCTCCTGGTTATTTTAGGGGACAGGTGGTGGTTGTCTCACTATGTTTCAAGTAAAGTCTGAGAGAGGTTAACACAGTAGGAAGTGGTGATTGGTCTCTTGGCCTCAGATACATCTCCCTTCACCTGTGCACATTACCTTCTGTCTTCAAGGGCCGAAAAGAAGATGTGGGAGAAAAGCACACAGTGGAAGGTGGGTGGTGGCCAAGGAGAAGAATGAAGGATGCCTTCAGGGGATTGATTTCCCTTAGTCAATGGAGACACTGCCAGCACAGCCCTTTGAAGAGGAAACTAGACCCATCTTGGTACAGCCCACCTAAAACCGACTTTAGACTCACTGTTAATTTCTCATTAGCATTATTGTGAGGTGAGGGAGAGCTGTGAGCAAATGCTCCAGTTAGTGTTAGTCCTTTCCAATTAGAAGTCCCACCCCTGAGATGAGCTCTCAGAACTCTCCCCTCTTTGAGTGAGGCTGCAGAGAGTGCTGCAGGCTCCTGTCTTTTCATCCTGGGGGCATCTCTCCTGGCACCCTCGTCTCACTTGCTCTACTTCTTTCTGGTTTTCTCTCACTTGGTTGCCCTTTCTGCCCAGTTGTTGAGAATCAGGCCTTCACTGTGGCTGAATTTTGGGCTCCAGGCCTAAGCTCAGAGACCAGTTAAGGCCCTCCAGTGTCCAGCGCAGTCCTGGAGCTCCATCTGAGCATGCAGCACCTAAGGAGTTTGATGAATCATTTTTCCCAGTCTGCTCGGTGCTCCAGAGCTATAGAGAAAGTAAAACACAGCCACCCCTCAAGGAGCTCACAGTCTAAAGGAGGAGCCAGACCCGTGAACCCAAGGTTATAACATGTACAGGGTGAAAGTTACTGGATGGAGTGGCCTCTGAGGACGCTGCTTTCAACACAATAGCACACTGAGCTTCTAAACACGTGTTAGCTGGTGACACTCCTCAAGTATTCCAGTAGCTCCCGTTGCTCTCAAATCCCACTAATGACCTACTGTGTGCATGATCTGGCTTCCCATTACTCCATGACCTCGTCTTTCACCTCATTCCTCGTCTGCAGCCACATTGGCTTCCTAGGTGTTTCTCAAGTACACAAGGCACCTAACCGCTGTGGGGCCTTTATACTGTTCCTTTTGCCTAGAATGTTCTTCCCTCAATACATACACATTGCCTGTTTCCTTATGTACATCAGGTCTTTGCTCAAGTGTTACTGTTTTTGTGAGGCATTCTCTGACCACCCAATCAAGATGTTAAAACACCGTGTCACCTCATACACAATCCCTACCCTTCCCCATCCTCATTCATTTGTATCCATTGCAGTTATCAGCCCCTCACTCTATCCATCATCTGTCTTCCTACTTACCTATCAGTCATCTGTCTGTCCATCTACCTGTCTATCAATCATCTAGCTACCTGTATCAATAATCTACCTATCTTATCCATTTATCATCTGCCTACCTACCTACTTGTCTATCAATCAGTCATCTATCAATCATCTATCTTTCTATTCGTCATCTCTCTCTCATCTGCCTATCTACTCATCTAGCCATCTATCAATCTATAGTTTCCTGTCCATCTGTCCTCTTTCTACATATTCATCTATCCATCTATCAGTCATCTATCTATGTATGTATATCATCTTTCTATCCATCTGTCATCTCTCTGTTGTCTGTCTACCTACTCATCTATCCATCTATCAGTCATCTGTCTACCTACCATAAGAATGTAAGGTCCAAAAAGAAAAAGATCTTTGTTTTGTTTATTCATGTATGCCAAGCATGTAAAATATTGCCTAGTTAATAGTTTTTGAAGGAAGAAGGAAGATAAGAGAGCATAGCACATTTGGGGAAAAGTAAGAAATTAGGTACAAGAATCCAGATTTTAATGTATCTCATGTACTGTGCTTAGGAATTTGGGCTTTATCCTGAAGATGATAGGATACCCCTTGAAGATTTTGGGCAAAGCCATGACAGGAGTAGATTTTGGGTTTGAACATTATGTTGGTAGCAGTGTGGAGTATGGATTAGAAGTAGATGGATTGGAAAGACCCTGAATGCCTGAGGTTGATACATGTTTAGGAGATGAGTCAGTGCCAGTGGGATTTGAGATATGTTTAGAAGATAATAGCAGTAGAACCTTACGGCTGAGCTAATGTTGGGGGCTGTGAGAGAGGGAATTAGGGGTGACTCCTAGATGTCTAGGTTGTATAGCTGCAGAGATGATGGCCTCTGGTTCTGCCTTTAGAGAATTTAGATTTCCTTTCATAGGTTAAAGATGGTGGAATTTGCCTCAGCTATTCACTTACTATGTAGAGAATACTATGAAAAATTGTGTAGACATTCCTCGAAGTGTCCTGTAAGACATGGAAAATGTTCTTCCATATATACTATTTTAATTTTTAAAAATTGGCACTCCTCTCAATTTTGAATAAATAATGACTGCTTAATTTACATATGGAACTGACATATCTAGAGGATCTTTCCATATGCTCATGAACTCTCAGTTGGGGTTCTCATTTTCTATAACCAACACTGAGCGCGCCCACTACCCCCATGTATCATGGCAGCCACCCTAAAGGAAAAGTAAAGAGGGCCTGTGGACATTATTAGGGCTCATTTGGTAGTCTCACTTACCACCTTATTCTCTCCTATTTCCTATCATTAAAATAATCTAGTCATCAGTTTTCTTAATTTAGACATTTCACTGATAGACTGTAAGTTACTTTATCTTAGAGTATATGCTCATATATCATTTTTTAAAATGTAGTATTGGTAAGAGCTTATTTCAGTCTACTGCCAGTGTACACGTTTCAGGATTTTCTGGTTTATTTTCTCCTGAGCCAGAATGGAAGGTCAAAGACGCTCAGAAGAAAAAGTTTTTTGGCCCTCAGGAGACTTAGCTTTCTAAAATTCTTTGACCACTTAACTTGTAGTAGAGTGACTTTGGTTACTCAATACCAAAATTATATCAGCCAAGAGGTAATTCTGTTATCTCTTAGATAATTGACCTAATCAACAATCAATCTAGTCAACCATGTAGCCTCAAATTTAGTCTCTCCTGGCTATATTTTTTCCATTTCATTTCTAAACCCATGACCTTACACTGCAATGAACTCCTACTAGAATTCTTTATAATAATGTGCACTGCTCTTCTTTTTAAATAACATTCTTTGGAAACTTAAATTTGATTTGGCAAGTGAATGAATGAATGAACAGGCATTTACTGAATACCTAGAAAATGTCACACTCTGCATTAGGCATTTTGTTACTTTTACTTGATGAAGTCTAAATTAGAGCCTAAAACATTCCTAGCTATTTTTTAGCACTCTTTGTCCCCCAACCAAAAACCCTAAAAAAGAAAACTTTGAGATTTGTGTTGTTGCCATTCCAACCAAGAGCGACTATGACAAGGAAGAATATTAAAACTAAAATGTAGCATATGATTTCCTAATATGTTTTAAATGATTATTTTGTCTTTAAGTGAGCTTAGAAAGAGTTTTAAAAACCACGTCTTATACTTTATGTGCAAGCCTGGACAAGAGCAGCTGCTTTCTCCATTGTCAGGCACCCTGATCCACCTGCACTCGTCTCAGGAGGAATGTCACGGAGCCCTGTCTGCCTCTAGGACAGCAAACTCAAATAGAGTGCAGGGAACCCTGGGGGATCCCGAGACCCTTTCCAGAATGTCTGTGAGGTCGAACTATTTTCAGAATAACACTAACACATTATTTGCCTTTTTCATTCTCATTCTTTCGTGAATGTCCAAGGGATTTTTCCAGAGGCTGTCTGACATATGGTGATGTTATCATTCTGACAGCCAGTGGAATCTGTGATTGTGAAGTCTTGTTGTTTGAAAAAGTTTTTCAGTTTACTTTTTTCTTTCTTTCTTTTTTTTGCTGAGGAAGATTAGCCCTGAGCTTACATCTTTGCCACTCTTCCTCTATTTTGTATGTCGGTTGTCACCACAGCATGGCTGACGAGTGGTGTAGGTCCTTATCTGGAATCCAAACACACGAACCTAGGCCTCCAAAGCAGAGCATGCTGAACTTAACCACTAGGCCGCAGGGCCAGCCCCCTCAGTTTACTTTCTAATACAGTAAATATCAAAGTATTAATCTCAAAAGCAAAGGCTTTTAAAGGTTTTCAGCAACTTTTAATAGTTTAAAGCATTCTTTGGGTTAAAGAGTTTGAGAAACATTGCTGTGAGACTTGTAAAAATGAATTCTTTTTTAAAAAATTGAGAGAATATGAACTAGAAACTTCGACACCTGAACCCACTCTGAGGCTGATTTTATACTGATGACAGTTTAAAGTCTGATTCATAGCAATGTTGAGTTTCTGGGAATAAGGATTTGTGTCCTAGTATTTATTCATTTGACAAATGTGCAAATAATTTTGTGTACTGAGCACTCTGCTGTGCACTCTAGGTGAGACAAAAATACAGGAAGTGTGGTGTTTGCTTCCAAAGAGTTTATTTACCCTGCAGTAAGTTCTTGACACTAAAGTTTTATTTTCTAGATTGAAAAAGTTTGTCTTTCTCTAGTCAATTTGAATATACTGATTTTAATGTGGTTTCCTAACTCTTTGTTTTCTCTAAACTCAGTTTTTTCTTTTGTTTATCTATTCTAGTATAAATCAGGAAATACCATGTTCTCTTACTTACATTAGAGTAACAGAGAATGAGGCATTAAGTCAGATTGCACACTCAATATTTCCAGTGAAGGCTGGCCTCCATCTGTGTAGAGCTGCACTGTCCAACATGGTGGCCAGTATCCACATGGGACCTTTTACGTTTAAATTAATTAAAATTAAATAAAATTTAAAATTCTGTTTTTGTGCTTCATTAGCCACATTTTAAGACAAGTGGCTACTATGCTGGGCAGTGCAGATATGGAAAACATCCCCCGACAGCGAAAAATTCTCTTTCACAGTGCTGTTCTAGGCCAGAGCAATGGAAGATTATTCAGTGCTAAAAAGAAATGAGCTATTAAACCTTGAAAATGTGGAGAAACCTTAAACACATATTACAAAGTATAAGAAGCCAGTCTGAAAAGTCTACATCCTGTATGATTCCACCTATCTGACATTCTGGAAAAGACAAAACCATGGAGACAGTAAAAAGATCAGTGGTTGCCAGGTGCTCAGGGGAAGGAGGGATGAATAGGCTAAGCACAGAGGGTTTTTAGGGCAGTGAATCTGTTCACTATGATACTTTAATGGTGGATACATGTCATCATACATTTGTCAAAACCCTTAGAATGTACAACACTTAAGATTGAACCCTAATGTAAATTATGGGCTTTAGT